GAAGAGGAAGAGAGAGGGAAAGGTGCTGAAGGAGTCCTGGAACAAATTATAGCAGAGAACTTCCCCGACCTGGGGAAGGAAGTAAATGTGGAAGTACAAGAGGCTCAGAGGACTCCCCTCAGACGTAACCTGAATCGATCTTCTGCACGACATATCATAGTGAAAATGGCCAAATACAAGGACAAAGAGAGAATTTTGAAAGCAGCTAGGGAGAAAAGGGCCCTAACATACAAAGGGAAACCTATCAGAGTGGTGACAGACCTATCTACTGAAACTTGGCAGGCTAGAAAGGAATGGCAGGAAATCTTCAATGTGATGAACAGTAAAAATATGCAGCCAAGAATCCTCTATCCAGCAAGCCTGTCATTCAAAATAGAAGGAGAGATAAAAACCTTTCCAAATAAACAGAAATTGAAAGAATTTGTCACCACGAAGCCAGCCCTACAAGAAATCCTGAGGGGGATGCTCTGAAGGAAAGGTTGCAAGGAACAAAGATACCAGAGACACCACCACAAACATGAACCCTACAAAAGATACAAAGACTCTAAACCCACATATTTCAATAATAACACTGAATGTAAATGGGCTGAATGCTCCAATCAAAAGACATAGGGTAGCAGAATGGATTAAAAAACAAAATCCATCAATATGCTGTCTACAAGAAACTCATTTTAGACGGGAAGATACCTTCAGATTAAAAGTAAGGGGATGGAGAAATATATATCATGCTACAGGAAATCAAAAGAAAGCCGGAGTAGCGATACTTATATCAGACAAACTGGACTTTAAATTAAAGACAATCACAAGAGATGAAGAAGGGCACTACATAATAATTACAGGGTCCATCCATCAGGAAGAACTAACAATCATAAATGTCTACGCACCGAATATGGGAGCACCTAAATATCTAAAACAATTAATCACAAACAGAAACAAGCTTATAGATAAGAATGTGCTAATAGCAGGGGACTTTAATACTCCGCTTACAGCAATGGATAGGTCAACCAGACAGAAAATCACTAAAGAAATAATGGACTTGAAAGACACATTGGACCAGATGGATCTGACGGATATATTTAGAACTTTACATCCTGAGGCCAGGGAATTTACTTTCTTCTCAAGTGCGCATGGCACATTCTCCAAGATAGATCACATACTGGGACATAAAGCAGCCCTCAATAAATATAAAAGAATAGAGATCATACCATGCACACTGTCAGATCACAATGCTTTGAAACTTGAAATCAATTACAGGAAGAAGTCTGGAAAACCGCCAAAAACATGGAGGTTAAAGAACACCCTTCTAAAGAATGAATGGGCCAATCAGGCAATTAGAGAGGAAATTAAAAAATATATGGAAACAAATGAAAATGAAAACACAACAATTCAAAATCTATGGGATGCGGCCAAGGCAGTCCTAAGAGGAAAGTACATTGCTCTCCAGGCCTATTTCAAGAGATTAGAAAAAGCACAAGTCCAAAATCTAACAGCTCACCTAAAGGAGCTAGAGGCAGAGCAACAAGAACGCCCTAAACCCAGTAGAAGAAGAGAAATAGTAAAAATTAGAGCAGAAATAAACAACATAGAGACCAAAGAAACAATTGAACAGATCAATGAAACCAAGAGTTGGTTTTTTGAAAAAGTAAACAAAATTGACAAACCTCTAGCCAGGCTTATCAAAAAGAAAAGAGAGAGCACCCAAATAGACAAAATTATGAATGAAAATGGACTTATTACAACCAACCCCTCAGAAATACAAGCAATTATCAGGGAATACTATGAAAAATTATATGCCAACAAATTGGACAACTTAGAAGAAATGGACAAATTCCTAAACACACACTCACTACCAAAATTCACACGGGAAGAAATAGAAAACCTGAACAGACCCATAACGAGTGAAGAAATCGAATCAGTGATCAAAAATCTCCCAACAAATAAGAGCCCTGGACCTGATGGTTTCCCTGGGGAATTCTACCAGACATTTAAAACAGAATTAATCCCAATTCTTCTCAAGCTATTCCAAAAAATAGAAGTCGAAGGAAAACTCCCGGACTCATTTTATGAAGCCAGCATCACTCTGATTCCCAAGCCAGACAGAGATCCAACAAAAAAAGAGAACTATAGGCCAATATCCTTGATGAATACGGATGCAAAAATTCTCAACAAGATCCTTGCAAATCGAATCCAGCAGCATATCAAAAGAATCATCCACCAAGATCAAGTGGGATTCATTCCTGGGTTACAGGGCTGGTTCAACATTCGCAAATCAATCAATGTGATCCATCATATCAATAAAAGAAAAGATAAAAACCATATGATCCTGTCAATAGATGCAGAAAAAGCATTTGACAAAATACAGCATCCCTTCTTAATAAAGACTCTCGAGAAAGTTGGGATAGAAGGAACCTACTTAAACATCATCAAAGCCATCTATGAGAAGCCTTCAGCTAACATCATCCTCAACGGGGAAAAACTGAGAGCTTTCCCCCTGAGATCAGGAACACGACAGGGATGTCCACTCTCACCACTGTTGTTTAACATAGTGCTGGAAGTCCTAGCATCAGCCATCAGACAACAAAAGGAAATCAAAGGCATCAGAATTGGCAAAGAGGAAGTCAAACTTTCACTCTTCGCAGATGACATGATACTCTACATAGAAAACCCGACAGACTCCACCAGAAGCCTACTAGAACTGATCCAAGAATTCAGCCAAGTTGCAGGGTACAAAATCAACGTACAGAAATCGGTTGCATTTTTATACACCAATAATGAAGCAACAGAAAGAGAAATCAAGAAACTGATCCCATTCACAATTGCACAAAAAACCATAAAATACCTCGGAATAAACCTAACCAAGGATACAAGAGATCTGTATGATGAAAACTATAGAAAACTTATGAAGGAAATTGAAGAAGACACAAAGAAATGGAAAAACATTCCATGCTCATGGATAGGAAGAATAAATATAGTTAAGATGTCATTACTACCTAAAGCACTCTACACATTCAATGCAATTCCAATCAAAATTGCACCAGCATACTTCTCAAAACTAGAACAAACTATCCAAAAATTTGTATGGAACCACAAAAGACCCCGAATAGCCAAAGTAATACTGAAAAATAAAACCAAAACGGGAGGTATCACCATCCCAGACTTCAGCCTCTACTACAAAGCTGTCATCCTCAAGACAGTATGGTATTGGCACAAAAACAGACACATAGACCAATGGAACAGAATTGAGAACTCAGAAGTGGACCCAAAAGTATACAGCCAACTGATCTTTGACAAAGCAGGAAAGAATATCCAATGGAAAAAAGACAGCCTTTTTAACAGATGGTGTTGGGAGAACTGGACAGCAACATGCAGAAGAATGAAACTAGATCATTTTCTCACACCATGCACAAAAATCAACTCAAAATGGATAAAGGACCTGAACGTGAGACAGGAAACTATCAACACCCTAGAGGAGAAAGCAGGAAACAACCTCCTTGACCTCCACCGCAGCAACTTCTTACTTGACACATCCCCAAAAGCAAGGGAATCAAGAGCAAAAATAAACTGTTGGGACCTCATCAAGATTAAAAGCTTCTGCACAGCCAAGGAAACAACCCAGAAAATTAATAGGCAACCAACGGAATGGGAAAAGATAGTTGCAAATGACATATCAGATAAAGGGTTAATATCCAGAATCTATAAGGAACTCACCAAACTACACGCCCGAAAAACAAACAACCCAGTGAAGAAATGGGCAGAAGACATGAACAGACACTTCTCCAAAGAGGACATCCAGATGGCCAACAGACACATGAAACGATGCTCAGCATCCCTCCTCATCAGGGAAATACAAATCAAAACCACACTGAGATACCACCTCACGCCAGTCAGAGTGGCTAAAATGAGCAAATCAGAGAACTCTAGATGCTGGCGAGGATGTGGAGAAACGGGCACCCTCCTACACTGTTGGTGGGAATGTAAACTGGTACAGCCCCTCTGGAAAACAGTGTGGAGGTTCCTCAGGAAACTAACAATAGAACTCCCCTATGACCCAGCAATAGCACTGCTAGGAATTTACCCAAGGGATACAGAAATGCTGAGGCATAGGAGCACATGTACCCCAATGTTCATAGCAGCACTCTCCACAATAGCTAAAACATGGAAAGAGCCTAAGTGTCCATCAACAGATGAATGGATCAAGAAGATGTGGTTTATCTATACCATGGAATACTACATGGCAATGAGAAACAATGAAATCTGGCCATGTGTAGCAACATGGATGGACCTTGAGGGTGTTATGCTGAGCGAAATAAGTCAGGCAGAGAAGGACAAATATCATATGTTTGCACGTATAGGAGGATTAGGAGGAACTTGACGGAGGAACAAGGGGGAGAAGAAGGGCGGAAATGGTGGGGGAAAGGGAGAGAGGCAAACCATGAGAGACTCTTGAATGCTGACAAAAACTGAGGACTGATGGATGTGGGGGGGGGATGGGCATGGAGGAGGGCACTTGTGGGGATGAGCACTGAGTGTTATGTGGAAACTAATTTGACAATAAACTATTTGTAAAAAAAAAAAAATAGCAATAGTGAAGGATATATATGAGGATATAAATAATCTGTAGTATAAATAACCATTGGAACAAGGGCTACCATAGGTGTGTACCTGAATAGACCACATGTAATCTGACTTATCAACCCATATTCACGTTTTGTAAATGAACACAAATGGAACACAAAATATTTTTATACATATTCAATATATTATAAAAATATATAGAACATATATATTATAAAACACTTTATGCATAAAATACTTTATATAATTACTAACATGTATAATTTCTAAAATAAATTTTTAACCAGAAATAAAAAAAAACCTAAAAAAGAATTTAGGTATCAATTAAATGATCTTTTGGGTGTCTGATGTAGCCTTTGTAGAAAGTGACTATTTTGGGGATACCTTGTTAAATCATTTCATAAAATTTTAAAATTTATGTTTACCTTTTGCAAGTAAAGGACTGTTCCTTTTAGTACAGCATAAAAAGTTTTCCATCCTCGCTTCCCTCTCGGGGCTAGAAAGGGAAAAAAAAGGAAAATGTTATTTGACGGAAAATAGTATTTTAGGAAAAAGTGAAATGATCAACATGGTGTGTTCCAATGATCCTGGTCTGTTAGCTTCCAAAACTATAATATAATAATAAAAACTAAAATATTCTTGGAACTTAACTGTGTAATAGTCAATCTTCCAAAAATGTCTCCCATGTATTGTCTCATTTAATCCTGACAATAATACTGTGAGATAGGTACTATGACTCTTGTCTTTTTATAAAATTGAAGCCCATAGAGGTAATCTTAATGGTCATGCAACTAGGAAGAGGAGAAGCAGGAATTTGAACTTGGGTAGCACAGGTGTATAGCCTGCACTCTAGTAGACACGACTTAAAGACTGGGAAAGCAAAGAGGCATTTTGCAAGTGCATATTAATCCCAGAGAAAGCTTAAAACGCTCATGCACCAGATCATTTATAGCTCTGTCAAAGTTTCCAGAAATCACTGAAGTCTCAGAATATAAAAGAACTCCTCTCAGCATTTCTCCCACACACCTACCAACTGGATTATAATTTTAATTATTATTATTCCTATGGCAACCTGCCTTAACTCAGTTGCAGATCTTGCCACACTGTAACTTAATATTTTTGTTTTAAGTGTTTCTTTCAAGAGACTATGAATGACCTGAGAGCAGGTATCCTTCATTTTTATAATTCATAGTATCTGGCACAGTTTATGGCAGACATTAGGTACCCTCATAAAAAATCTCCAAATTAATGTTCTTTAAGAAGTCCTTAATTTCCTTTTGTTTATATTTTCCTGGAGTACAAAGTAGAATTTCTCTATTTTTTAAATGTTTATTTATTTTTGAGAGACAGAGTGTGAGATGCAGAGAGAGAGAGAGGAAAACAGAATCTGAAACACGCTCCAGGTTCTGAGCTGTCAGCACACAGAGTCCGATGTGGGGCTCAAATTAATGAACTGTGAGATCACTACCTGAGCACAAGTCGGACCCTTAACCAACTGAGCCACCCAGGTGCCCCTACAATTTCTCTATTGAATCAAAATACACTTTTACAGACTCTCCTAAAACAAAAACACATATCAGCAAAAACAGTTTACTATTCATTCTTAATTTTAATAAAATTAAAATACATGGCTGGAAAATTTTATTACCTGAATGCCATTTTTCTAAACATGTCTAACCAAATAGGTAGAGAGGATCACTTATGCTTATTCTTTGATCAACTATCTGGCTGCCTTTAGGCTGTCTTTAACTTGGATACTTGAGTAAGTTAGGAAATGCATCATTTAAAGCAAATCCTTTAAATCTCCTTTGACTGAAGACTCAAGAATCCTTAGGGTTGGCAACTGTGTTAATAGCCACCTACAGAACACAGGTGTCCCTGCCAACACCATGCTGATATATACACCTGGCAAAAAAGGACTCAAAACATCCGCTCTGCAGGTTTCCAGGGGAAATTAAAAAAAACAAAAACAAAAACAAAACAATCAAAAACAAACCAATCCATCTGTTTCTACTATGCAAGGTTTAAAAGTATGTACTCAAAAATAAATGATCAAAAATAGTACACCACTCTCTCCTTTATAAATAGAATCACAGATCATTTATATAACATATAAATGTTATATTTTATATGTAAATATGTTATATAACATAATGAAATACAATATATAAATATTATCTATGCATATATATATTCATATATATACACAATATATGAGTATTGACTGTATTGTTGATTAGATGTCAAATTCTTTTTTTTAAAAATATTTGTATTTATTTCTAGGAGAGAGAGAGAGACAGTGTGAGCAGGGGAGGGTCAGAGAGAGAGGGAGATGCAGAATAGGAAGACAGGCTCCAGGCTCTGAGCTGGCAGTCAGCACAGAGCCCGATGCGGGGCTCGAACCCACGAACCGCGAGATCATGACCTAAGCGGAAGTCAGACGCTTAACTGACTAAGCCACCCAGGCGCCCCAGATGTCAAATTCTGATAGAGTTGATGTGACAACAGTGCACAGAGAAACACAGAAGTGACCACAGGCTGTAGGAACTACTGCAGAGCAGGACCAAAGGCAGCATGGTGTGCTGAACCCACCACCTGTCTTAAACCTATCTTGCTCTAACTGGGTAACTCCTGATCAATCCACTAACTTTTCAAAAGTTCAGATGCTTCACTTAAAATCATGGCTAATTTACCTAAGTTAAGGAAATGCACTAGCTAATGCTGGAAAGGAACTTACAGAAAATATATTTTTTTTCTCTTACTTTTTGTTGTTGTTTAACATCTTTAATCCCCATCACCTATTTCACCCATTCCCCCCACCCAAATCGTCTCTAATAACCATCAGTTAGTCTTCTACACTTGAGAGTGTGTTTCTGGGGTGCCTGGGTGGCTCAGTCAGTTAAGCATCCGACTTCGGCTCAGGTCATGATCTCACGGTTCGTGGGTTCTAGCCCCGGGTCGGGCTCTAGCTCAGAGCCTGGAGCTTATTTTGGATTCTGTGTCTCCCTCTCTCTCTGACCCTCCCCTGCTCACGCTGTCTCTCTCTCTCTCTCTTTTAGAAATAAATTTAAAAAAAAATTAAAAAAAAGAGTCTGTTTCTTGCTTTGTCTGTCTCTTAGTTTCTCTGTTTCATTTCTTAAATTTCACATGAATGAAATCATATGGTAATTGTCTTTCTCTACTTCACTTAGCATTATGCTCTCTAGATCTATCCATGTTGTTGCAGATGGCAAGGTTTCATTTTTTATGGCTGAGTAATATTCCCTTATACATACATACCATTTCTTTGTCCATTCATCTACTGAAGGACACTTGGGCTGTTTCCATAATTTTGGTACTGTAAATAATGCCACAATAAACACAGGGGTGCATATATCCTTTTGAATTAGTGTTGTTATATTTTTTTTGGTAAATACCCAGTACTGTGATTATTAGATTATAGGGTAATACTATTTTTGATTTTTTGAGGAAAATTTTCACATTGGATGTACCTGCCTGCATTCTTACCAAATGTGTGGAAGAGTTCCTTTTTCTCTGTATCGTCACCAACACCTGCTTTTTCTAGTGTTGTCATTTTGGCCATCTGACAGGCAAGAGGTAATGTTACACTGTAGTTTTGTATCCCATGATTTATGATTGGAGCTCAGGGACTTTCAAAGGTATTCTTGCTCATGACTATAAATCTCAGAACTGAAGCATGACCCTCTGTCTGCCCTCTCACATGTGACCAGCCCAATATTTCTGCAGAGTACTAACGCTCATAGCAATAATAATTACAGCAGTGGTAATAGCACATATTGCTTTAAACACTGTTTCAAAACTTGATGTAAATTAACTAAAGCCTACAGCTTTATAAAGAAGCAATTATTACAATTTCTATTTTATAGATGTGGGATCCAAGATCTCACCTAAGCTGCAGCTCTTGGTTCCCATGGCACTGGCCACATTTACTCTGGTTTGTATGCAGGGAAAGACCAGTTAAACCAGACTCAGTATACGACGTCTTGGTTAACTTTGAGATATAGGAGTTATCTTCAAATTATTTATGATCTGGCTCAGCATGGACACTGACCAATCAGGAAAGACACTGTCCAACCATGACTGAAGGGACACCCATGGTAAATAGTCTGTACAACTGAATCAGTACATATATTCCCTATCAGCCCTGCCTGGGGGAATGTTTCCTGCCCACCGCATGTTAAAATCAGAAACAAGCAAAGTCAAACAAAACTCTGTGATTATTATTCTATATCTCACACACACACACACACACACACACACACACACACACTCTATACATTTCTGTAAAAGAGAAATTGGCAGTTGTTCCAAAGATAGGTGATACTGTAACTACTATAAAACCTTCAATATTAGAAAGCAGTTCTTATTAATGTTCTTATCTCACCTTCATTATACATTTGAAGAAGTCTTTTGGAAACGTAAAGTAACTTTATCTTGGCTTAACTATTGTCATTGATTTTTGTGAAACAGTTAAATTAACTGGTACTGAAAGCACAGGTTGTCATCATTCTTTAATAAGGAGGAAAGAATCAGAAAATATTCCCAAGCAATAAAATATTAAGTAAAGATTAATACTGAATATATGCCATAAAATAAAGCTATGCATTTTTTGTAGTCCACCAAAAGGTACAGGGTTCAATGAAAAGTTTATATTTGTACATTATACTCTCCAACTTTAATTGCTTCTGAGCCAAACTAGGAAGAAATTGTGGCTAAGATCTTACTGTCCCAATTTTTCTATTTTATTCAAAAAGCACAGAATTTTTTCCTACATCAAAATAGACTCCTCCTGCATTTGGCCACTGTGGGGAATAAGCTTAGGAACTCCCTGAGCTTGCACTGAAGGGCTAACAAGGCATAAAGAATTAGAAAGCCACAGGATGTATACACGCAAGTTTGGGTAAACAAGATTAGGTAAATAAGATTAGGTAAACGAGGCAAAGTTCCCCGGTATAGGTACAGCAGGGCAAGGGTCCCAGTATAAGACAAAAGTATAGGAATAGGGAATTTCACGATAAAAACATCCAAGATGAGGTAAAGATTAGGTATTCAGGGTGGAAATGGCTCCCAACTTAGTACAATAGCAGAAAGCTGCTTTCATAGGAAGGAAGGATCAAATTAGGTAAACAGGTAAATAGGGCTACAGGCCACTGGGGGAAGAAGCTGCCCAGAGTGGAGTTAATTAGGAAAAGAAAGGTACCTTGTTGACCCTGAGGTAGCATGCTCTTTCCTGTCCCCTAGGCCAGTTTAGGTAAACAAAGTTGGCAACACATGTATGCTGTAAGCAACCTTCCACCCAGCACCAGAGTCTTGTTTTGTATTGACCCAAACCCCTAACACCGCATATCTTCAAAACGCCCTCTCCTTCAAGCCCATGAGTTAATGTTCACAATATCATTGTCTCCTTGAGCATGCCCATCAATCACCACCTTTATAAGCCTTCTGATCCCCATAAAAATGGAGCAAGGACCCTTA